GTTGCTGATCTGATCAGTGCATCCTTCTCTTTAACAATCCCACATGCACAGGGATCTATGTCATGATTAGACTCCAATAAGTCATCATGGAAGAAGAAAATCCCAGAGACAGACTGCAGTCAGAATGACAGAGGTACATTGAGATGTAAAGCTCACAGGATGTAGGCTGACTGGCTCACCGAAGGCGGGGAAGAAAATTATCGGACTATAATAACGATGTCAGTGTTGAAAGTGGTGTAACGAAGAAAAGCAAGCAGATGAGTAATTAAAGATGATGTTTGTTTCATTACTCAGAATCAACTCCAGGTCTTTATCCTCTTAGTTGGTCATGGAATAAGGAACAGGAAGGAACAGGCCACACCTGGCCATGAAACTACTTTCCAGTCAATTTTAATTATAATAATGGAAAATTTATATAGCGCTTTTCAAGGCACCAATGCCACTATTCATTCACTCTCACATTCACACACTGGTGGAGGCAAGCTACGGTTGTAGCCTCAGCTGCCCTGGGGCAGACTGACAGAAGCGAGGCTGCCATATCGCGCCATCGGCCCCTCTGGCAAATACCAGTAGGCGTTAGGGTAAAGTGTCTTGCCCAAGGACACAACGACCAGGACAGAGAGCCCGGGGATCGAACCGGTGACCTTCCGGTTACAGATACGCTTCCCAACCCCCTGAGCCACGGTCGCCCCTCAACTTACTTCCAATTACTTTTGAGCCTCTGAATATGGGGAATGTTGAATGCAATGTTTTTGTTAAACCTCTTTAATTAAAGCTGAAAGTCTGCAGATTGGATTCAAAATCCAGCGCAGTGGTGCAGAGAAAAAAATCACTGTCCACATACTTATGGACTGGACTATATAAACACTTCAAAGTGGATCTGTTATGAATATGAATCTGAATGTAAGGAGACAGTGAGACACATCGGAAATATTAAAGTGTGCTGCACGGGAGTTGGAAATCTCACTTGGATCAAATCCAGCCTAACGAAGTAGAAGCAGCACTTCTTTATCTTCATGGAGGAGGCTTCGTACTGGAGTCGGGTAATGAGCTCAACACTTTTTGGAACATTGTCCTATCGTCCCATGCTGGGATAACTTGGGCAATCAATTATGAAAAAGCTTGTGGCATCCACGCATGCTGATAATTTCATTTAGAATGAATGATTTAAATCCATTAAATCCAAAATGTCTCCGACTCGTGGACGCGGCGAGTATACGGTATGTGTGCAGAAGAAAGAACCAACACGTGCTTGTCTTGTTTTCTTTATAGGTTGATTATTACTTTTGCAAATACATAGTATTTCTTTACAAATATTGTAAGAAAATGAGAACACAGTTAACAGACGTCTTTCCATTTAATAAATATGATTGTAAATGCATAAAACAATTACACACAGCACAGTTGAGGTCGAACAAAAACACTGGAACACCTTACCGTCTGTTCTTATACAAAAGCTGTACAGTAGTAAAACTCTTTTTTTTTAAATTGTTATTATTATTTCTCTACAAAAATAATAATCTTGCTAATCCTGCAGGGCGGAGGAGATGGGGAGAAGGAGAAAGAGTAGCTCGGAGTTAGGCTACAACTTGACTTTGCGCACCCTTGGGTCCTGTCACATCACAGCTCACCCTAACCAGCAGGCCAGAGATCCACCTTGTTAACATGGCTGTTCGACCTGTCTGTAAAACTCTCAGGCAGGAGGTGCTGTTATTATGATGGCCTTCCTGATCTTGTCTGGTCAGAGTCATTTCCTGTTCCCTGGAGCTAAGGTTCAGATTAGAGCCCTGCTGTTTCTGATCACAGGCCTTTGGTTCCAGGCTGCTGTACAGTATCTCCCTCAAGCTATGCAAAACCAGAGACAGACAGAGAGATGGATATTAATGCTCTCAAATACGAGCTAAGTAATTCGTAAGTAATCCCAGCACACCTACAGTACATTCTTTACATTGAAACACTAGTAAGATACTCTTTCAGGGGGGCGATGATGCTCATTTTCAGCTCCATAGCTTTAATCTTGGACTCTAGTAGAGTAGCTTTGCATGAGTTGGTGTTAAATAATACTTTTTTACTGGACTGGGTTTACCTTCCATCTGAAACAAGCTGATTTGGCTCTGTCTTTAAGACAACTTCTGATTCTAAAGAGTTGAATGGCAGGGAGATGGGTCTTCTGCACTTACAACCATAGATTTGCACCTGAAATGACCATAATGGGGATATCTGCACTGAGCCAAGATTA